CCGTTGTGTAATGGAGGCTGCCTCAGAACTGTGTGTGCTTATTATAATCAGCGCTCATCTTGCAAAACACTATTTCAGGCACACAGTTGACTATAGGAAGCAGCTCCCTGCTTCTGCGGTGAGCTCTCCACTCGGGAGACTGTTCTAAGTGACCTTGCATCTTGGAAGTCATGGTGTGTCCTCAGGAGAATGTGCAGTATCTTGTAACAACTAATTATAGTGCAAATTAGGGCTCCATTGTAATACACTTTGTTAACAAAAATGATTAAACAGTATATTGACAAGCTGGGACACATGTGATACCTTTGTGGCTCCTTGAGAATTTTGTTGGTTCTGGTACAATAAGGTGTGGAAGAACATTAAGTATATGTTTCCTCAGGGGCCTTGGAGAACTTCTTCATTTCCTAGAGCAGTTTTATCTGTGTGTGAAGTGGGGAGCAGGCATGCTGGGTGACACCCACAGGAAGCCACTACCTGATGACACTTGGAAGCAATTGTCCTTAACATCACAGGCACCTTGAACAATAGAGATGCATAGTTGAACTTAGAAGTAGCAGTATTGGCTTTATGTAATAAAGGAAGCATTTTTAACTTATCTCTTGTGTATTTATTTATGTGTGATTTGGAAGTAAGGGACTTTTGTCTTCCATATATGGGGTAAGTCATGGAGGTTTGAGTATTTCAGGCAATTAGACTTAAGATCACAGCTCCCTCTTACAGAGTAAGAGTGTAAAAGTCAGGAATCTTATTTACCCAACTACTAGGCTTTTACTCATTTCCTTTCTGATACATTTGGGAGGTAAAAATGGGTATGCTCTAAAGAAGATACTTCTTTCAAAATTGTCTAGAATATAGTGCTGACCACTGGCTTACTGATAAGCTGTTTGTCATTTTTTGGTCCTGAATTTTTTTTCTCTACTGCAAAGCAGTGTTTTTAAGTGACTGTATCGACTGGCCTCCCAAGAAGGAATACATGCCCAACGCTAGCTCTGCTCAAGCAGCAGCCTGTAGACGGAGCGGGGGATTTGGTCACAGAATTTTAGCAGTGTCTTCTGTATGGTTTCAGCCTGACACGGGCCGCTACTGCAGGGCGCAGGCTGTGGAGGGAGGAGAGGCACATGCTCCGGGGCGGGGTAGGGGAGCATTTCACGGAATGTGAACTCTTGGCCCAGAAATGGGGAAGATGTTAACAGTTGCTAAGTGTCTCTAGCTAGGGATGCTTTTGATAAGAGAGTCTTACTGGATTCCTGGGGCTTAGCCCCAAAAATCTACTAACAAGCCCTCCAGGTAATTCCGATGCAGTCAGTTTGAGACCTGGGAAGTAAAACTGCCATATTGTCTGCTTCCAGCAAACCTATTTACATTTTTACCAGTGTTAACCCATTACAGAACTACTTGTAGAAGGCTGACTTAGGCTCACTTAGTGAGTGTTCCCGCCTGAGAAAGCAGCAGGTTAAAACCACTGCTAACAAATGAGAGCCTCACTGAAGTGGTTACCTCAGGGAATATTCATCTCTTGAGAAAATGGTGAACACAATGATATGAATAATAGAATTGGGCTTGGTTGAGTGGTTTCCTTTTTGCAGAGCTGCCCAGTGTTGGCTGGTCCACACCCAGGAAGTGCAGCTTCAGTTTTTTGAATGGTTTATTGCTCTTTGGACTGTTAAGAGACTAGATATGCCCAAAACCACCTCACGTTCATGCTGGGACAGCTCTGAAATAGGGGAAAGTATCTCCAAACTGGGCTGCGGCTGGGAGAGGGGGAGGTCCAGGAGCCAGGTCCCAGGGGAAGGTGCTATGCTGTTTGGCCGCAGCTCTGTGGGACCCGCTGAGCCCCAGAAAGGCAGCAGGGAGGGGAGCCCAGCCCTGGCCAGTGCCCCCAGCCAGCCGGGGTGAAGTGACCTCACTGTCACACAGCGAGCAGAACTGGATGGCAGCGTGGGGGTCTTGTGGTCCTGAGCTCTCCCCCAAGGCACCCCTTGAGGGCTCGTTTCTAACACCTGGGATTTTAAGACTAGGTGAATGGATAAGACTCGAATTGGGGCAGAAAGGAAAACGGTTCGTTTGGGCTTTGAGTCCTGAAGGGTATCTAGTGATTTCTAAAATCCTGTTTTTGTTGCTCATAGGCCAGGCATCCTGCTGTTTGTGCATTTTATTGATAATCACCTAGAGATGAGCAGAGGAAGCTAGTCAAAAGAGCTGCCACTGGCACAATGGGGCTTCTACATCCCATTCCTTGTCTTCCTTGTTTATGGGCTGCATGAACCTGGAGCTTCAGGTCAGCTCTGGGAGCCTCTAGAGGGGTTTAGATGTTCTCAGAGCTCTTCCAGCTCTGTTGGTGGTCTAAACGCAGTCACAGTTCCAAGCCCAGGCTGTGGCCTCTCAAGCCAGGACTGGGGGAGCTGGCAGTGGGCCAGCCAGGGCCTTGTAGTTGACAGGTGTTCTAGCCCAGCTTGGGTGACTCTTGTCTGCACACTGAACTTCATTCCATGTGACCACAAAAGCTAGTTCTCCAGTGCTACAGGGGCCCCACCACATTTGTAGGACAGGGAGCTGTGAATGGCTGGGTGAAGAAGCCGGGCTCCCTGGGTGTCTGTACCTTGTCAAGGAACGTCAGGGGGCTTACCAACCTCTTGTAGTATCTGGCCAGGGCAGCTGCTTCCAGTGTCTTACTGAAGAGCTTTCCTCCCTCCCCAATCTGATGGTGGAACCTTGTCCAGAACAGCGCTGACAAGTCCAGGCTGAGGCAAGGCCCAGCAGGCTGCCTGGCAAACTCGGGTCCCCTCTGCTAGCCTGGGAGGTGCCCCTGCTGGGCATCAGGGCTTCTCTGCCTTTGGTGGGGCAGGTGCAGAGGCTGACAATGATGGGCCCTCAGGGCTGCAGGTGGCCTCCAGAGTGGCATTTTCCTGAGCCCCACGGGGCCCCACCCCTGCACTGTGCCTGCCTTCGGCTTACCCCCTCCCCTCAGGTAGATGCTGGGGCCGTAGCCAGAACCCAGGGAGCTGCCATTGCCTGTGGAGCCCGAGGCAGCAGGCTGGTACCCCCATGTCTCATGCCCTCCCTCCACCTGAGGTCTGCCCACTCCTCCCCGTGCCTTCAGAGGGTGTCTGCACAGCATAGAGGGTCTCAGTTCTGCAGTCAGTATGGCAGGGGGAGGGACGCTTACTGGAAACAGGCTCCCATGGCCATGACAGCTGTTCTGGTGCAATAGTCTGGTGTGACAGAGGTCTGGCCTGACCTTCTCACCAAGAAGCTCACCAGGGCCCCAGACCACCTTGTAGGAGGCCACTGTGCAGATGAGCTGGGATCCAACAGGGCCAGTCCTCCAGCAGAGCCCTGTTCCTGGCACCCATGGCACACAGTGATTGATTCATGGAGCCTGAACACCCCAAAACTAAACTTTGCCTCCACCTGCCCCCACCCCCACCCCCCAGGCAGCCTGATGCACCGCTGGAGTGTTAGAGGTCAGTGTGATGACTCCTCCCTGCCTTCTACCGGGTGAGCTGCCTCCACTTGCGTGGGGAGGCTCGCCCCACCACATGGGACTGAAGGACTTCATGGGGAAACAAGCACACGGCCGGGATCAGGTGTCATGGGCCATTCCGTCCTGTCAGGGTCTTGGCCAGAAACTACAGCATCCATATCCCAAGTCCTGGGGGCTCCCTCTCCACTACAGTGTCTTCCAGAGCTCCAGAACAGGCATGGTTGTCTCTCCTTCCTTAAAAGCCTCAGTGGCTCCTACTGCCTTACCCATCCAGACCCCTTGTCCTTGAAATCTGGTTCCACAGAGCCTTCTTGCCCTCCCCTTCTCGTCTCTGTGCCACTGCACTACTGTCCCCTTGGTCTTGACCCTTCCTCCCCTGCTCTGGTGAACTCCAGTGTAAGCTCACTTTTCTGTGCAGTCTTCCCAGAACTTCAGCACCCTGACCCCAATTCAGCCATGGTATACCAGTGCCTGGCAGCATGGAGATGTGGCCCACAGACCCAGCACCCCTGGAAAGCCAGGCCCTGATGTCAGTTGTGCAGGCAGAGATCAGCACCACCCAGCCCTGGCAGATGCTCAGGGTGGGGCTGGAGACCAGAGGATACGTGCCCCACAATACTGCTCGGAGTCAAGGTCCCCACAACAGCCACCCCAAAGAGGAGTCGATCCTACTGCCTAAAAGGTTTGTGAAATGCAGAGTGGCCCCGAGCAGGCGATGGAGACTCCCTTGGGGCTTTCCCTGGGAGACACTCCTTGGCCTCCCCACCTCCCGGTGGCTGGCCTTGCCAAGTGGGCAGTCCTCCCCAAGCCAAAGCCAGCCATCCAGATCCTTCCCCCAGGACTGAGGCTTGGGAGGGAACACACAATACTGTGCATGGTAGAGGCAGCCCCTTGGCAGGACAGTGAGGCCACCAAGGCCTGAGGCTGCCCGATTCACCTCCAGTCCTGGGTTAGTTCAACCCTCCAGGGACTTGGCCTCTAACTCTGTTTTTTTGCCTAAGCTCCACATTATTATTGCTTACACAGCCCTCAACACACCTCCTGGCACAAGACGGCTGTGGACCACACCACCTTGGGTAAACCTTGGAAGTCTGAGTCTCACAGGAACTTAGCTGGCTGCTCCTGCCCTGAGGCACCTCCTGAGGTGTGCATGGTTGTCCAGGACCCAGCCAGGACAGAGATCCCCTTGTTCATTCAGAGCTCACACAGCAGCCTAGGTGACCATGGCCCTGCTCAGGTAGCCTCAGATCCTCAAGGGTAGGGACTGTGGTCAGCACGTATGACCACAGGCTTCACAGGCCACGCGCTCTCATCCTGCCCAGTGGGCACTGGGGCCTGGGTGGCATCATGAGGGAACAGGAAGCATTGAGTTTCACCCTGACTCCAGAGCCGCTGATCCAGGAAAACAAGAACCACAGTTGTTCTGTCCCTGAGGCTGCCAGCCCCTCTCCGTTCCTCATCCTGGGCCCAGCAGCCAGGTCAGGGAGCCCCCGCAGAAGACCAGACGAGACTGAAGCGCCGGGCGACAATGTTGGTTTTAATGGCATTAACATCCAGGAGGTCACACATCAGTTCTGGTTGGCAACTTCTTCCTGGGGTGAGAGGCTGCTACCCAGCTGGCCTGGGCTGTGGCCCTCCAGTCTGCTCCACAGCCTTTCAGACTCGCCAGTGGGTCTGCCCGCCTCCCGCCCCCTGACCCGCTGAGACCAATTGATTGCACTGATTGACATACAGATACCCAGAGGTCCCGGCCTCCCCAGCACACACCCCGGGTCTGTCACAGCTCATGAGGGCTTTGGCGTCTGCTTGGCGCTGGGCCAGAGCTGGTCCCAGGAACAACAGTGTTTATCAAATGTGACACAGGTTCTTTTACAAACTGGGGGTCTGGAATATCTATTTCTGTGGTTCTGAGACTCTCGTCTCTAATAGCTTCCCTCAGGGCTACTGGAAGTTGGGTCTGGACAACGCCGTGGTGATTGGCTGGTTGGTTTGTAAGGAATGTGTAAGGCATTTTGGTTGGTTGAATAGTTAACTTCTTTTTCTCAGACAGAAGTGCCCTCCTTTGAGCTGCTACCATCCTGTGAAAAAGGCAGGTAGAGGGAGGGAGAGGCTGGGGCCCAGGAGCAAGGAGCACTCCCCTGAGCCCTGGGGACCTGGGACCTACTACCCTGGACTGACACCCCACTCCGCTCCCTCCCGGCCCAGCAAGGCGGGAACCAGAGCTGGGAGACTCGGTGGGCCTCCCGGCAGGAGGGTGGGTCTGGGTGCAGGCTGCCCGCCTGGGCCTGCATCCGAAGTCTGTCCCATCCCCTCAGCCCCCAGATCGGGGCCTAGCTGTCCTGCACCCCCACACTCACTGTCTGGTCCAGCTGCTCCTGCAGCTTCTTCACCGTGTCTTTCTCCTTGGCCAGTTGCTCCTGGGTCGTCTTCAAATGCTCTTGTAATTTGGTGGTGGGACGTCCCAGGTCACTCGTTAACTTCTTCTCTTTTTCTAGTCTCTCCTGTGGGTCAGGGTTGAAGGGAATCAGCCTTCATGTGACTCGCAGCAGGAAAGCCACCCGGCTAAGCTTGGGCAGCCCCACGTCCCAGGAGCTGGGAGCTCTCATGTGAGGGTGCTGTCCCCTCCCAGAGACAGGCAGTGCTGGCTGAGTCAGCTCTGTGTCCTGTGCCAGCGCAGCCAGGAGAGCTTCCTGGGACAGTGGGCAGGATCTGGGGTGGGTTGTTCAGTGCTGCCACCCCTGGACACACGTGGTGGCTGCTGAGCACTTGCACCGTGGTTGGTGCCACTGAGGACTTGAGCTCCAAGTGCTGTTTACACAGCCGTACTGGACATTGAGAGAGCCTCCTGCCCCCCATCTTAGGCTGGAGCCTGCTCAGGGGGCCTAAAGATGGCTCCTTCCCACTCCCAGCCCAGGCAGGGGGGAAGCTGGGGCCAGGAGCTGGCCCAGGGGGTGGGCTCCCCTCCCTGTCTGAGCCCTGGAGCAGGCAGCATCCACCTTTAGTTGCGCAGCCGACTCTGCTTCTGAAGGCTCCGAGGGGCTGATGCTGTGGAGTTTCTCCAGCTCTTCTTGTAGCCTATTCGCTGAGTTCCGAGCCTTTGCAGAGAGGGCAGCAGGGTCAGGGCAAGACGCCTTATAAACGTGACAAGCCCGCTTGGAGGCAGGAGGGTGCCCGGCAGGATGGGACCACAGTTCAAGCCTATGGCTGGGAGGGCAGGCCAGACCCACCCACGTGGGGGGCAGGGGACTGTGTAGTGACACTCCCTCGGGAACAGTGAAGCTCAGACAACCCCCAACTCCCTAGACTTGTGGCAGCTCCAGACCTGTGCCTGCCTGCCTGGGCCACACCACACCCCTCACCATCCCTGATGCTTGTAGCCCAAAAGCTTAGGGCCGAACAGACAGGGCCTGACCTCTTCAAACTCAGCAGTGAGCTTCTGCCGCAGCGTCTGCTCATCCTCCAGGACCACTTCTGTCTGCTCCAGCTGCGTTTTCAGCTGCATGGGGACACCACAAACATACTCTGGGAACCTGGCAAAGCGGCATCTTGGGAGCAAGGGCTCCTGGGCAGGCTGAGACCACGGGGCTCCACTGTCCAGCTGCTTCTAGTGCTCCCTCGGCCTCGCCCTGCCTCCGGCTTGCTGGGCTGGCCCGTCTGCACCTTAGCCAGCTGAGCAGGACATTCCCAAAGCTCCCCTTTGAGAAAGTGCTGCCTCAGCCCCAGGTACGGAGCTGGCGTGGTCGGAAAGAGTTGCTGATGGACCCTCTGCTAACCTCAGGCCCCTTTCATGAGGCCCACAGACCCACTCCAAACCCTGGTCCCACAGCAGCAGCCCCCCACTAATACTCTGGCGCCAGGTCTCTGCCTCCTGACCAGGGCTCTCAGCAGAAATTACGTGGGTCAAAAGTTTGGAGAGCAAGTACCTGGCTAGTGACATCCCAGCATGGCCACAGTGGGAGCTCAGAGCCCCTCACTGGAGGCCTGACTGCCCAGCTCCCTCTTCCAGCCCCTCTTGCACATAGTGTTAGGGTTGAGCCCCCGACAGCTCCCCACCGGGCCCACCTTCCATGCCCCTTCCTCTGCTGTATGGCTCCCTCAGACCTGGGTGACGCCTGCCTTGGCATCTAGGCAGAGCAGGGTGGAGAGGAATGGAGGCTGCAAGTAGTAGCTGGTGTGTAGCCAAAACAGAGGCCTCCAACTGGGGTGGAGAGGGCCCACATGGGCAGTTATTGACAGACATCTGGGGACCTGCTCACCGCCCTAACCTCGACGGGATCCTGCTCTGCTTGGGGGGCCTCAGGGGGGGCAGCCAGGGACCCAGCTACGTCACCATCCTCTACGTGGCTCTTCATCTCACTCAACTGCTGCCTGACCTGAAACAGGGAGGGGTGGGTTTGTGCAAATACACAGCCAGATGCTCGTCTACCTTGCACATTCTCAGACATGCAGATCCTGTAGGAGGACTGAAGATGCTCTCACAGCTGAAGCCCCTATGGGGACCCTGGTTTGGTACCTAACCTGTGTTGGGGTTCACTGTGTACAGGTTCACTGTGGCAGGGGGCTGACACCATGACCCTCACCAGACTGAGCCCAACTAGGTGCCAGTGAGGGGCCCGGGCTGGCACCACTCACGTGCTCTGCTCCAAGGCCAGCCAGCGCAGGGCCCTCCCCTCAGACACGGCAGCCCCGATGGCCACAGCCCACACAGAGCAAGGAAGCCAGAAAGACGAGAGGCAGGCAGCCAACAGGCTCTGACAGAGATTGCAGGCACTCCTGCCTAATGAAGCCCCCACCCCAGAGCTCCATCCCTGGGGTCAGGCGACACGTCCAATGGCCTCCAAGCTGCTGACCACTGAGCCTCAAATCCGAAGATGCACAGCATCTTGCATGGGACCTGGATGGGTCCCTGGCATGAGCTCCCCAGGGAGCATGGGTGGCCTCAGGCCCCATCCAACAGGTACCCCGAGCATGCTTCCTTCCTGCCCTTCCCACAGCCCCCAGGATGAAGACCAAACTGTGCCCCACTGGTAATGAGAAACTCTGGGGGCTTCCTCTGCAATGTGTCCCCAAGGGCCTACCACCCAGACCTGCTTGGACAGCAGCTCTGGTAGTAGCCTTCAAGCTCAAGTGGTGGCTCAGCCTGGACAGCACCTGCCCTGGGGTGAGATGGTCCCAGGTAAGGCCAGGTGACCAGAGGGGGGATCCTGGGGAGCTTGGGGCTCGTGCCCCAATGCAGGGAGCTGCCTGCCACCCAGTGGGGGCTGCTAGCCCCCAACCAGGCCTTTGAGCTCCTCTCAGAAAACCAGATATTGGTACAATGAAATCAAGACTTAAGAAAAAAAGACTGCAGGTCAAAGAGAACACGTTTGTGGCCTTACAGGCTGCTGCTGGCAGCTGTAGCCCCAGGGCCTGACTGGGCAATGCAGGGACGGTCAGTCGCCTGGGCTGAGAATGGGGAGGCCCAAGAGGCTATCTGCACAGCAGGGAGCTCTGCACATCTGCAAATGGGGCACCTGGTACTGCCAGCTGTGCAGCAGGCCTCCCTGCATACCGGCAGGTTCGCCTGAGCGGGTCCGTGTCACCACCAAGGCGAGAAAAGCCCTTGAGCCCCATGGGGGCAAGGCTCGTGCTGAGAGCAGGGTGGAGGGCAGGCAGGCCCACAGGGGCCCCAGGTGACGCTAGGCTCTGACCAGCAACAAGGATGCACCTGGGACGTGGGACCAAGCATGAGCACCATGGTCTGGGCAGCAACAGGCCCAGCTTGGAGTTTCAGCAAAAGTGCAAGGAAGTCCTTCAGCACACCCAACCAGGGCCTGTCCCAAATACTACTCAGTGCATGTCCACTCGGCTGCGCTTCACTACCTCTGCGGGTGTAAAGCCACGGGTGGCACAGCGACCTCGCATGCAGCCCCCACCCAGCCCCACTCACTCACCAGGGCGAGCTCACTGCTTTGTTTCTGGGCTTCGCTCTTGGCCGCATCCAGCTGAGACTGAGATTCTAGTAAAAGTTGCCTCAACTTGGAGAGAAAACAGACCCAGGTGATGGAAGAAAAACGAGAGAAGATAAAAAGCCAGCTCCCATGAGCCATGCAGTCCTGCACACCCCATAACCCGGACACTCAGGATGGTTTATTGGGGCCCAGGCCTCCCAAAGACACTGCCTCCCTTTTGAAGGCTTGTAAGGATGGTGTTCACTATGCACCTTCTTGAATGTTTATGGACTGTCTCTCGCAGAATAAGGTCAAAAGTTTGAGATCCAACTAGAATCAGGGGTGCCAGGTTTGTGCTTCTGAGCAGTCAGAAAACAGTATAAGATTTAGATCTGTTCCCCCAGGGATGGGCCATCCCCAGGCGAAGAATTCTCAGTGGGCTCACCCCTGCCCTGTCCATGGGCCTGCCTCTTTTGAAATCTCTCTGGGACACCTCCTCAGGTCAGCTGCCCAAGACCAGGGAAAAGCCTGGGAAGCCAGATTCTGAGCTCGTGCCAACGAGAGCTATGGGCGAGGCAGACCGAGGGTCCCGGGAGGTCTCACCCCTGCCACCTCCTTGGCATAGCTCTGGCACTCAGCGCTGGCAGCTGCCATGTGCTTCTCCAGCTCTGCCTCCAGGTGCGAAGTGTGCTCCCTCACCTGGACACGGACACGCACAGAGGCCTTGAGTCGGCCAGGAGGGCACGAACCACGGGAATAGGGTGATGGGCTACAAGTCTGACTGGCCCTGGGATAAGGGTGGTAGGAGACCTCTGGGGCCAGCGGCTACTGGGCCCACTAAGGCCAGGCGGAAACAAGTCCATAGCAATAGAACACCCTCCTGAAAATGGCACCCCAGGTCCTGATGGTCAAAACCTCAGCAGTGGGGACAGGACAGCTTTTAGAATGACTTGCTAGGTGGATACCAGGGGTACCTCTCTTAAGGCCAGGGCTGACTGTGGGTCTGAAGAGAGCAGTGGGGCCACTTTGCATATGGCCCACAAATCAGAAGACCATCACAGCAGCCAGTGCTTATCAGGGTTGGGCACTCACAGGGCCCAAGGCCATCCAGGCCACTTTTAGGCTATAAATGGTCCTCATAAGGAAAAGCAGGACTGACGGGATCCCTTAGCCTCTCTAGGACATGTGATCCACGAGGGAAAAATACCTAATGTGGCCTCTGTGGTATTTCCCCTGTAATAAGGAGAGCAGCTGGACGGAGCCCACATGCGTACCTGATCTGAACTGTCAAGTTCTCCTTTTAGCTTCTCTGTGAGCTCTTCGAGCTGTTTCACTGTGACGTGTGACTGCAAAGCAAGGGGGAGGTCCTGTCAAACATGAGGCCCAGGAGAGGACTTGTCCCAGGACCCAAGGGGACTGGGCACCATCTCTCAGGAAGCCCAGAAGTGCCTACCCACTCCATGACCCACAGCCTCTTCCTGGGGTGGGTGGCAGGCGGCAGATGTCATTCTGCAGTGGCACTCTGCAGCATCACCGAAACCCAGCAAACATCAACTCCCATCTCCCCAGTGCCCCAGATCTCATCTGCTTCCCCCCTGGAGCTTATGGTGTTCTGATACAGCTGTCTGTCTCTAGTGAGTGGTGTTTCAATTCCTAGGAAAGGTGGACCCTGGAGCAATGCTCATGTCACTGGAGGCTGGGGAGGGTTTCAGAGGCCAGTCCTGTACCTTTTGGAGCTCCTCCTCTGTGGCGCTCACTTTGGCCTTCCATACCTGCTCCTCCTCCTCCACACTCTTCTGCAGGTCTTTGAGCATGCCCTCCTGGGGGAGGGGGACAGTGAGGCAGAGCCCTCTCCCTGGAGATTCCCGCAACACACACAGCCACATCTTCCTGTCCCCTCAGCTCGTCCGTGATGACCATCTGACTGCCAGCATGGCCCTGCTCTGATTCGTCACAGTATCACATGGGGGAAAGGTGGGCCACAGTCCTGCTGGGGCTCCCTGGCCAGTATGTGGGCCACATGAGGGAATGAGGTCACTAGGACTCTCATCTCTGGTGTCTATGCTGTCAGCACCAGCCACAGTGCCCAGGATGAGGAACATAGACAGGGTTGGCCGGAGTGGGAGGGCTAGACCCAGCATGGCTCCTGGAGTCGCTGAAGACAGTGGCTCGGAACCAGCCATCAGCCAGACGCTCCCCTCTTCCTTCACCAGACCGTCCCTGACAGCCAAGCCCCCTCCCACCACTGAGAGCCACCCCCAAACCTACAACTCAGGCCTCTTCTCAGCTCAGAAGCAATGCAGCGCAGAACACCTTACGCATCCCCTTTACCATTCAGCCAGAGGAAGGGGCCAGGGGAGGCACAGGAACATGACCAAGGAACGCAGGGCTCCTTTCCCGAAGGCCAGTGGGCCTCCTCGCCTCCCCACCTGCCTCCCATGGGCAACCCCTTGCAGCTCACCGTCTCCGCCAGGATGGTGCGGTATTGGTCACACTCGGCCTGCAGAGTGCTCTGGATCTCCTCGGCCTCCCTCAGCTTGGAGGCCAGGTCCTGAGGGCAGGGTGTAGAATGGGTCTGGTTAGCCAAACACAAAGGTTTCTCCTAGCTGCCCCATAAAACAAGTCCAGGCACTCCCTTCCCTTCCCAGGGACAGGGGAGAGCAAGACTAACAGTGGCAGCCCCCGCGAGGTGAAATGCTGGCACCCACGCCTACCGAGGAGGGCTCCATGCTAGCCGGTGGCCTCAGCAGCCCAGGGCCTTTCTCTCTCAGTTCCTGCAGCCACTCAGAGTAACTCTGCAACAAAAAGTGTGAGATGGGGCCCAGAGACACTCCCTAGGTGTGGTGGGGCCCCCCAGGAACCCCCTTCCCTCCTACCTACCTGGTGAGCCGAGTCAGAGAGTGCAGGGACCAGAGCCTGCAGAGCCTCCTTGGTCTGGGCCTCCATCAGGCGGAGCTGCTTCTCATACTCTTCCTGGGCAGGGGTTGGGGCAGGGAGTGGGGGAAGGGCAGTGTTCAGCCACAGAGTTTTAAGGCAGCCTAAACCCCATTTTTCCTGGAGGCACTGGGGGCTCTACCCCACACAGGCTCATCCTCAGCAGTCCAGGGACAAGAATCAAAGGGGAAAACAGGTGACTGACAGGGGCAGTGGTGGTAACTGCAATGGGTCTAGCCACCTGGGCCTGTGCCAGGGCAATTTTAAATGGACTTCACTCTAATGAAGGGGACAGCAGGTACCCACAGGGCAGGTGCAGGGTGCTCTGACGCCTCCCTGGGGGTATGCAGGCTCAATCGTTCCTCAATTTCTGAGCTGTGTGTGTATGTGTATTTGTGCGTGTGGAAGTCCAAGGAGCTGGACAGGAGACAGAGAAGAGATGCATCTCCCATCAGCCACCAGTTAGGTGCTACTGCCTAGGAGCAGCCAGGCCCAGCAACCCGGGAGGGAGGGACAGTCAGTGACCCCACTTTGCAGAGGGAGATCCAGCTCAGAGGCAATAAGAGTGTGGGCAGGGTCCCCTATCCACAACTCCATTTGTGCTGTGGCCATGCTGTGCTGGGCCAGAGCTCCCATCTGTCACTGGGGTTCCCACTCAAAGCATGAAAAAGGAATGAGAGGACGGAGGGAGCTTTATAAAGCAAGCCTGGAACACCAGTGTCCCCTGGAGACAGATAATGCCCTCTCTCCACACCCTGGGGGTGTGGCTGTAGATGTCTGGCTAGAAGAGAGTCCTATCAAATGCAAATTAAAACCACAATGAGATATCACCTCACACCAGTTAGGATGGCCAACATCCAAAAGACAACAAATGCTCGTAAGGATCGGAGAAAGGGGAACCCTCATACACTGCTAGTGGGAATGTAAATTAGTTCAACCATTGTGAAAGCAGTATGGAGGTTCCTCAAAGAGCTAAAAATAGAAATACCATCTGACCCAGGAATTCTACTCCTAGGAATTTACCCAAAGGAAACAAGATTTTATATTCAAAAAGACATATGCACCCCTATGTTTATCACAGCACTATTTACAATAGCCCAGATATGGAAGCAACCTAAGTGTCCACCAATAGATGAATGGATAAAGATGTGGTACATACACACCACAATGGAGTATTATTTAGCCATAAGAAAACAACTCCTATCATTTGCAACATGGATGGAGCTGGAGGGAATTATGCTCAGTGAAATAAGCCAGGCAGAGGAAGACAAGTACCAAATGATTTCCCTCATTTGTGGAGTATAACAACGAAGCAAAACTGAAGGAACAAAACAGCAGCAGACTCACAGACTCTAAGAAGGGACTGGCAGTTACCAAAGGGAAGGAGGTGGGGTGGGTGGGTGGGGAGGGAGGGAGAAGAGGATTAAGGGGTATTATGATCAGCACGCATGTGGCAGGGGGAGGGGGAGGCACGGGGAAGGCAGTGTAGCACAGAGAAGACAAGTAGTGACTCTATCATCTTACTACGCTGATGAACAGTGACTGCAATGGGTTATGCAGGGGGGACTTGATAATATGGGGGAATGTAGTAACCACAATGTTGCTCATGTGAAAGCTTCGTATGACTGTGTATCAACGATACCTTAAAAAAAAGAGTCCTATCTAACAGCCTGTCCACAGCCTGGCTGGACCTACTGCAAGCCCCACCTCGAAGTGAGTGAACCCCGACTGCACTAGAGCCCATGAGTGCTACTCTGAGTGTGCGTGTGGAGGACAGCTGACAAGGGCCCTCAGGGCCTGCACTCAAATCTCAGAAGCAGACCCTTCTTGGCTCGCCCAATGACCCACAGACAATGCCCTTAGCCTGCCATGGACCTGTGACCTTGTGACTACCTTTCAGACCCCCTCCACAGCCCATATTTTGGGAGCCTGAGGACAAGAGCCAGAGGATCCAGAGGCCAGCTCATCTTATCTGACTGTGTGATTGCAAGTCAGGTGACACATCTGGTCACAGCTTTTGCATTTACCACAAGTAGGCTAGACAGGCTCCCAGGTCACATCTGAGGAGTCTGAGCAGTGGGCCAGAGGCCAGCCCTCCACCCAACACCTTGTCTCAGGGCCTCACCTGATATAACCCTCAGGCTTCCAGGAAGGCTCAAGAAAAGTCACTGCAAAGCTCCTAACAAGACAGACATTCCTTCTGAATGAGTGACATGGGGAGGGGAGGGGAGATTTGGCTACCTGGGGCCTTTCATCAGGGACGTTAATATGTGGCCAAGGGGGTGGATGGGGCCTCCACCTGCTGCGGCCACCAGCCATGTCCTCCAGCTCCAGAGGTGACATGGGGGCTTCAGACACGGAGACCCCACATTCCCCCCAACTTGGATGGCAGAGCACAGGACCAAGATGCAGTCCAGGGCCTAAGTGGCTGCTGCTAACGATGTCCTTCCCCACTGATACACTGTAAAAAGCAATCACAGAACCCACTGGGCCATGATTCAGAGGGCCTGAAAGCAGAGGGCCCACTCAGACAAAGCACCGTGGGAGAAAAACCACCTTAAGGCAGCCCATGAGGACAGCCCAAGCCCGGCTCAAAGGCATGCAGTGAGGTGGGCTCACAGCCCCATGGCCTCACTCTCTGTCCCAGCTGAGAAAAAGCAGTCAAGGTTGCCTTTCCCCTTCATCTTAAGGAGAGCTGAAAGGAAGGAGGGAGCGAGAAGGGCGAGGAGGAAGATGCAGAGGCCTGGGGCCCTCTGTGTGCAGCCTCTCGGCCCCCAGCGTGGATTCCTCACATGCTGGAGGCTGCTCTGCATGCAGTTTGTGTGTTCTGCTGACTGCTAAACTACACAGGTGTTGTTAATCAAGTCTCCACTAGCAGGCAAGTCTGAGGACCCGCCTCTGACCTTGGCCTGGGTCAGGGAGCGCAGCTTCTCCTCACAGGCCCTCTCAGCTGAGGCCAGCGCCTCCATGGCCTTCCAGTTCTTCTCTCGGAGGTCCTGGGAGAGGAGACAGGAAAAGGTCAGCTGCCAACTCATCCACTGAGCTGCCTCAGCCGCTCTCATGAGGCAGGGCAAAACCCCCTGGCCCCACTCTGGACCCCACCAGCGGTCTGCAAAGGGAAAAAATGCCCTTTCTATTGGCCCACATCCACTTGGCCTCCCCCGGGCAGCACTGACATAGGTCACAGAGCTGCAGCCCACTATGGGCTGGCAGGGGCATGGGGCCATGAGGTGGTGAGGGTCCTTTCAGGGAGACTCCAGTGTGAGAGAAGAGGGTCAGGCTAGCTCCTCAGCAAGGAGGCTGCTCCCCACAAAAGCAAGCACTGACCCCTTGGCTGGCTTGGGCTAAGCCAGGCACAGGGAGGCACAGGGGGCTCCTTGGGGCAGAGCAGCTGGGCAGCCAGCAGGTCTATGAGAGGCAGTGGGCAGGCAGCCCAAACAGGAGGATGTAATGCAGAGGAGAGGGGCTTCTATGTCCCCTTCTCCCAGTGCCAGCCTCACCACTCCAAGGTGACCACATGACCCAGGCCAACCTGCTCACTATGTCCCCACCATAGGGGCTCTAGGCTGGACCACACAACCCAAGCTGATCCAATGGGAGTCAGCTCTGGGACTTCTGATGGACCCATGGGGTAGGGAGGCCTCCCCACACAGGAAGGTGGGCCTTCAGCCTCGAGTAGCATGACGGGATGATGGGATTTCAAGAGGAGCTCAGCCCCGTCCTGCCTAGTCTGGGGCAGGTTCCCCACAACAGGCCTGCCCTCAGCACGCACGTTGTTCTTCACTTTCTGCTGCTCCACTGCCTCCTTAAGCTCGGTAGCCTCCTTCTCCAGACACCACACCTGGGACTCCAGCTCCTGGAGGCTGAGGGGAGATAGCGGCATCACTGCTGGGCTCCAAGGGCTCCCAGGTTCCATCCTGGGAGGGCCCCTCCTCTGCCTGGGCAGCCACCCCGGCCAGGAGTACCAGCGAGGCCAAGCCACCTGGCTGAGATCAGGCCCCTCCGCTCCCATCACCACCTCACAGGGCACAAACTTTCAGGGAACCTCCAGCAACCACCCAGCTCTTCCTCCCACACATCCCGAGTGCCTCGGAGCTGGGGCACAGACCCTCAAGTCTGCTAGAGTTCTACTCGGTGACACTGGCCACCAGGACTACGGAGGTGAGAGCAGCCACAAGCAGCCAGCACAGGGCTGAGCCGCAGGTTTTCAGAATGCTTTTCTTCCAGCAAACTAAGATCCTTGCCTATGCGGCTCCTGCTCAATGTGGTCCTGCTCTGTCCCCACACAATCAGCCAGCTGGCCCTTCCCAGTGGCCATACCTGGCCCTCAGAAGCCATGCACTGGGCTTTCCCAGAGGACACCTGAGCTAGAGACTCATCTAGTGCTGTGATCTATATACCTGGTGAGATTCTGGGCACCGCTGCTCTTGGCAGTTCACTATAGGCCACCGCTTCCCACTGGGTATGGCAGGACTACCCTTGGTCCAAAACGTAACTGCTGGAGCCCAAACGCTCCTCCCTCAGTTCTGTGCCTGGGCCTTAAGGAATCATCTCTGAAGTGACCCCAGACATCATGGGGTTGGTAAGATGTCACGCCCATCTTTTCACACTTCTTTCCAGATTCATGGGCCCAGTGGGTGTCATCTACCCTCATCATCCAAAAATGAGAAGTCAATACTGTTAGAACCGTACTAGCTGATCTGAGGAACAGGCTCCAAATTGACACTTTAATAAGCTACCTTCCACATTAAGATTTAGTAAGGGGAAGGGCCCAGGGACATGTGAAATCCAAAATCCAGAAGTGGCCCATGCTGACTGGTCAGTACCACTAAAGCCACCGTGAACTCAGGAAAGCAGCCTCTGCTCCATGCTGTTCCCACCAGAGGGTGGCTGCCACCAGGCTCGGGGAGGTGGGGCTCTGGTCACTGCCAAGCAGGTGGGGACATACATATTTTATATTTCTTATCATAGGCCATGGTCAGAACCTTTTGATAAACACCATTCTAGCGTATCCCAGGAGCAACATAGTTTCTGGGTGCATTCTAGCTCTCCTGACAACGCACCCTGGGAGTTTTTATCCTGAAGTTTTCATCTGGCCTTGGAGACAGTTGTTGACTTCCTTGGGTGTTGGTTTCAGGCCCACAGAACCTTGACCCTTGACCCCACTCTCAAAGCTCTGCTAGGACCCTCCTAGCTTTTCCCTCAGGCCTCCCGTGTTACCTAACAGCCTGCCCCCAGAAAACCCCTCAAAAGCATCTCCAAAACAAAGGCCCCCGAGGAGGAAGTCAGGCCACTGCCTCACCTCCAACCCAGGACAGGATGGCTTGGCTGAGGCACAGCTTTCAGATAAACTGAGAAGGGAAAGAACCTGAACAGCATCTGCCAGAGACGCCTGCATGAGGCAAAAATCAGGGCCAGCCCTACACACAGCCTGACTTAGGGGCCCTAGTACTGTGCTGTGTGGTCAAGAATCTGATCAAACGCTTAATCAAACACAACCTCTCTACCCCAACAACACTACGCGAAACAAGGTTCATCCAGGCTTTCTGCAAAGTCACAGGGAAGGTGACTCTCTGGCGGCAGCAGCCAGAACAAGACCTTGTTGGCTGATGGCCTGGGACATGCCCCACCACCTGCATGGGACGGAGGAGGGGACCTCCCACACCTCACCCGTGTAGTGGCCCTATGGGCCCCTGGCCACAGCATCCAGGAACCACCTCCCAAGCCCGTGGTCACCTGCTCAGGGACACATGCCCTGGAGGTGACACAGTCCCAGGAGCCCAGCACCCAGGCTTGAGCCACCCACTCTGGCATCAGCTCTGGCCTTGCCATCAGCAAACTGTCCCTGAGCACAGCCTGGGGCAGGGCCATGACACCAAAGGAGGTCAAGGTCTGCCTGCAAACCGGCAACTCGGTCAGCTCTGAACCCCACTGACATCTCACAGCTGGTTCTCCATACTGGGTGTGTAACCATTTTTCCTATCAGATTTATGACCTCGCTTACTAAAATCCCTCGCCTTGTACCCATGGAGAGAACCTGTGTCCAGCTAGTCCTTCCCCATCGAGATGGACAGATGGCCACTTGGCAAGAGAAGATCCAACCCCCTGTGAGGCTCTCCACACAGATGATGAGTCTTGATCCTTGAAAGCAGGCAAGAAGCTCTTTGAATCACCCTCTTTCCTGCCCAGGCCTGGCCCCTGTCCTCAAAGTCACTGGAGGGATGGGGAGAGGCAGGGGCCTCTGAAAGGGGCTCTTGCCCTGCTGAAAGGCCCAGCTCCCAGGGTCCTGAGGCTGCAGTCCTCTCCCCGCTTACCGGGCCTGCTGCTCTGCTTGGCTGGCCTGCAATGCAAGAGAAAAAGCTCCTTGTCACCATGAGTCTTGCCTCATGGGGTCAGGGCAGGCCCATTCACTCTCAGCCCTCCCACAGGGCAGGCTGGGACCCCAGGTGCTCTCCCTCTCCTCCCTCAAGCTGACCTGGGCATCCTGGGCTTCCCGGGCCTGGCCCGCCTCCAGCAGGGCCTCAATGGACTGGATCTTCTCTGTGAGCTGCGAGTTCTCATCCCTGGCCTCCTTGAGCTTCCCGTGGAGACTGCTCAGCTCCTCGCACTTGCTCTTCACCTCTGCCTCAGAGGACTGCAACTTGCTGTGCAGCTCTGAGAAGGGGAGCAAGGGCAGAGTGTGTTGGGGGCAGGAAACGCTGGGATGGTCTTCCCCCCAACTGCTGCCTTATATCAGGGCACTGAGGGCTCCCCCTCTCCTGCCTCTTCTGTGTGCCTGGGGATTTAAAGACATACTTCTGACCACTGGAGCCTTTATAACTGTTGGAGGAAAGCTCCTCTCTGGCTTTGTTCTCCAGGACCCATTAGGGTAGAGTGAAATGCCCTCAGATCACTCATGGGAAAGGGCAGAAATCTAAAATGGAATCTGGTTGCAGTTTCTAATTTGTTCTCTAAGAGGACTAGCTCATATTAGCTGAGCTCTGCTTAGGTGCTTGAACCCAGCCCTCCCAGCCTCCCTGGCCTCCTCGATCTGGCTGCTCTGCTTTCCCAGGGCCCCACTGTGGCCCATCTGAGAGGCCCATGGATTCCATACCCACTCTGCCAAATCCTTCCCTGTTGACCTCTGAGGTCACCTGGGCCCTGGGCCTGCCCTGCTCCAACCAGCACAGAGAAGCCACGGCACACGGGATTATGCCAGTCCTCTGTCCCACACGTGCTGACTGTTCTCATCACACGGCGCAACCCAGCTCTTCACAGGGACACCTGGGTCCTGACCATCTGGCCCCGTGCCTTCTTGCTGCAGTCACATTTGCTGACTTTCTGTGTTTGTTTCTGGTCTGGGCCAAGTTCAAGTACATTCCCATTCTCAGGGGCCCCATTGGTCATTTCTGCCTCTTCCTGGTCATTGTGAGGCCACCCCTTTCTGTCACTCAGACCTTGGCTTAAACTTCCCCTCCACCTCAGAGAGGCCTCCCTGACCACCCAATCTAAAGCCACAGAGTGGGGTCAGCAAACTAGGCCCTTGGGCCACCCCTGTCCACTGTCTGTTTCTGTAAAGATTTATTGGCCCATAGCCAGGTCTATCTGTTCATATATTGTCTTGGGCTGCTTTGTACTACAGCAACAGTGCTGAGCAGCTCTGGCAGACACTGTATGGCCCACAAAGCCAAAAATATTTACTGTCCGACCTTCACACAAACAGCTTGTAGCCTCTGCTCTAGTTCATGTTGGCTGTTTTGAGTCTATAGAGCCCAGGGCTGTGTGACCTGAGCAGCACACGTTCACGCGTGTCCTCTGGAATGTGCCCGGGACAGCACTCGGCCATGGCAGATGTTCAGGAAATGCTGGTGCACAAGCGCCTGTTGAGCTGTCACTGGCACTGCACTCCTTGTTCTCCAGGAACCCTTATATCCCTGACTTGGCCACCCTCTCCAACACTGGCCTCTTGGGCTGAGTGAGTGAGGACGACCAGGAAGGTCCAGAACGTATCAGCTGAGAGGGTCCGCGAAGGCCCCAGCAGTGCACAGTGGAAGTACAGCCATGCCCCAGGGGCCCAAGGCAGGAGAGGCTTGAGGGGTGTCACCTTTGAGATACCCCTCCCAGTTGTCACAGGCTCTGCCCTCTGCTCCCAGCTCCCCTCCCAACAGGACATATTAACCCACGCCTGTGACTCTGAGGGGCACTCAGGGATCCCAAGCTGCCCTCATATGCCAACAAGGTGGGCCCATGTAATAAGTTCCAGCCCCTGGGCTGGGGATGTACAGATGCGCTTCCTGCCCAGACCCCATGGGCCCACAATGCCACCCTCACCGGCCATCTGCTTCTGCTGTTCCTGGACCTTCTCGGCATCTGCACGCAGGCTGGCATGGCTGGTCTGCAAGCGGCAGAGCTCCCGGCTGACCTCGTCCAGGCGCTTCTGCAGGGCCTCCTCACTCTCCCTGTGGGACACCTGGGGACCAGGCAGAGAAGATGGCCGTGAGCATGCCAGAGGGAGGCCAGACCCTCAGCTAGCTCTGAAGTCGAAGAGGACAGAGAACTCCTTACACCCTGACATCCTGTCTTAATGACCTTTATAAAACCCTCCAGGATTTCAAAGTCAGTTCATCCATTGGAGAAAACCAGGGGGCAACATCCACCCTACCCCTGAAGAGTGGACTCACGAAGCACCTAGGCTGAAGGACAGTTGCAAAAAGGAAAAAGTCCCATTTCACTTCAGTGTGACAAAGAAAGGTGCTTCCTGTAGCCTGAACCTCCCATCTGCTTTGATCTCTTGAGTGGGTCCTTGGAAGGTTCACATTTATTGAGCTTTTTCTATGCAATGCACTATTCTAGGTATGCTGGTTGATCCCCAGCCGGTCCAGGAGACTGTTATGCCCATGTCACAGGTGGCGAGAACAAGGCCGTGAAATCCTGCAGCAGACCCCAGGGGCCTCTCTGGCAGCACCATGAAGGCTTGATGAGGCAGCCTCATACCCTGGCCTCCCTCTCCACCCGTGGTCAGCCACTCCCAGCACCTCTGTTAGAGGGGAAAGAATGTGACTCTACAGCCCAGGCTGAACACAAGACCTCAGGCCTGGGAGTCAGAAGATGCTCAGAGCCTGGGGCTTACTGCTGAGAAGCAGGCCCAGGTCTTGATCCCAGGCTGGGTCCTTAGAAATGTCACATGTACTCGCAACACCATGGGTGCTAGATTGGAGGTTCCAGCCCTAGAAGCACCAGAACTATCTGGAGCCATTAAAACCTAATTATGGCCAGGCCCACCCCAGTGTTCTGATCTGCTGGCTTGGGATCTGCTTTACATGAAAAACGAGCAAACACCAAATTGTCCATCTCAATTCCACCCAAACAGTCCAAACCCTATCTGTTTATATGCTTTCCATCTTTAGTCCCTTGTTTGCAATTTCATGTCATTGTTTTAGTCCCTTCTACAAGACAGCCCCCTGCCCCAAGTGCCACAGCCTGGTCACTTGACTGAGCAGAAATCGGGATCAGAGCCCTCAGGTTGCCAGGACTTCCTTGTTATCCAGTAAAGTTAAATGCACAGCAGGTGTGATTGAGGCTTCCCCAAATCAGGGTAACTGTCCCCCACCTGGTCATCCTGTCCTGACACAAGCCAGTGGGGGCCAAAGTTAACAGGGGCTGACTGTGCCAGACGACGCCCAAGGTGCGGAGGGGACAAGGGGACAACCTTCCTCCCACTGAGAGAATGGGCATCCTCCTGGGAAAACAAGAGCTTTCAGGCCACAACCTGAGGCTGAAAAGAACACCCACTTGGCTTTGAAGCCGGAAGATGCATGAACTTGGCTGGCTCTGGCCAGCTGCAGTGCCAGGGTGGAAGGGCAAACACGGCTCTGGGTGGACCCAGGGGTTCAAATCCTGCCTCTGTATTAGCCTGGACTTGTTGCTTAGTGTCTCTGTGTTTCAAATTTCCTTATTGGTAAATTACAGATAATAATGGCACCTATTTTATAGGGTTAAAATGAGAATGAACTGAATTAAATGCTTATATCTTGCTTAAAACAATGCTTAACACATAGTAAGCACCCATTTGAGGCTGCCTAGCTCCACTATTAATGAGGCCACGGTTGAGGGCTCAGGGTTTAGAGCCCCAGCCCTGCATGAGTTGCTGTCAGTCATGGCTAGGAAGGGATGGTCCAGTGTGGCCAGGCCCGTCCCTGCTGCACAGACCAGCTTAATGGGTGGTGTGAACAGGACTGAGGTGGTTGTCACCCTGAGTCACCTGCAACTGGAGGACCTGCTTCTCGAAGGTGGCTGCCTTGGCCTCCAGAGTCTTCCGTTGCTGTTCCTCCTGTCGCACGGCCTCTGATTTCTCTACCAGCTCCTTGCTGACCTTGCCAAGTTCCTGCCGGAGCTTAGCCAGCTCCGCGTTCTGCCTGCAAGACAGTCACCAGTGCCTTACTGACAGACAGAAGGGACTTGAATCAGCTCTCTCCAGCCCTGAGAGCTGCCCCCAGGTGGCTGGGACTGGTACTCCAAGCCTTCTCCTCAGGAGCCCGATTTTTCATACATGGTTGACTGAGTTTTACAGCCATTACCCAAGCCCCTCCTGCATGATCAGCTGTGTGCGGTAGGCGTCTGTGAGTGAAGACATCTTACCAGCATGGTCTAGGTGCCAGAGAGAGCAAAGAGTAAAAATTCACGAAAGCATCCTATGGGAGTCCCTCCTAGAAACAGCTAGAAATTCAGACAGAAAAAAGGCATGACACTCTTCTCATTGCTGATCTGGCTCCCAGCAAGCTGTGGAATGCAAGCTGACTTGCTTCAACACTCCTGCAGAGCCAGGGGCAGCAGCCCCTTGGAGTCCATGTGCCCTGCTTCACTGGCCAAGGGGACCACAGCCAGGCTGGGAGGCCCCCAAAGTGGGAGGCTGAGGTGCTCTGTGGAACAGACCTGCAGCACTGTACAGAAGCTGGGTGTCAGGCCAGGGAGTAGCTCACAGGCCAGGGAGGGAAACCTGACTGGAAGGAAAATGGGCAGTTTAAGACCTGCCTTTTCCAGCATGTGGAGGTAACCAGTACATCGGCCTCTTTCAGAAGCACAGAAGACACCTCCTCAGGCAGGCCTGGCAGCCTCGCTGAGGGGCGATACCACATAAAACAAGGGGACAGCAAGATGGTTCCCAACCATGAAAGGTGGCATCAGGCCAGCTGGGTAGAGGCGAGAACTCTGGCTAAGCGGGGAAGTGAGTGTCCCTCTGTCCCCATGTTCACCTTCTGCTTGTGGCTACTGGGAGAATCACAGCCACAAACCTCTGACCTGCCTATGGGACAGGACAGACAGGAGGATGTGGGCACACACATATCCAGGGGGACCTCCAGGCAGAAGAGAGAGCCCGAGGCAGGTGGCCCACAAACCTCACTCTGTGCCAGGGGGCCACCAGCAAAAAGAGACACATGGCCCAGACTTCCCTCCCTGGGCCAGCTCCTGGCCCCACCCTCTCCCCACCTGACTTCCACTGAAGGAAGAGGATACCGGTGCTATTTACCTCTCCTCTTGCCAAGAGGGGATGCTCCAGGGGTGGTAATGCAGACCCCAGAAAGTCCCCTCAGGATGCCTCAGGTAAAGAGATATAAATCAAAAGAAAATACAGTGGGGTTTCTTCTGGGCCAGCCTATTGAAACTAATGCTCAATCAGGGACTCAGCACCAGGCTGGGCAAACTGGAGCTCATCAACTCATCCTATGGCCTTGACCATGTGAGAAGATGCCAGCCATGCATGGGAAGGCTCAGCAGCTCAGAAGCAGACAAAGAAGGGGAAAGTCAGAAGGTGTCCGAAAGAAGGGGCCGTGGATTCGCACAGCCAGCCCTGAGCACTCCCATGGGAGGCCCTGTAAGGCTGCCACACCAGAGCCCGCAACCCAGCAGGAAACTAGAGCCTGTGCCATAGCGTGGGGAGAGGTCAGAGGGCCCTCTGGCTCTGGAGCACCCCCAGGATGAGCCAACGTTGTGTCCCACTGGGAGTGCTATGCTTACTTGCTCTCCACCTGGCTGGTGGCCTGGTTCAAGGCATCCCTCAGGATCGAGTTCTCCTGCTGCAGACGGGCCAGCTGTGTGTTGGGACCATTTTCCAGCTGCTCCTGAAGAGTCCGGATCTGAAAAGTCAATGGGACATCAGAGTGCCGCTCGGCCTTCAAAGAGAGCCAACTTTTGGAGCAAGGTTAGTGGGGTCACCGCCCACAGAGAAAACCAAGGGCAGCACATTTTCCACATGAGGTGGGGAGGACCCCCTAACACAGGCCTGAAAATGCACTCAGAGTAGCCCCAGCCACATGCCTCTGCCCTCGCCTCTGCCTCCCGTGTCACAGCCTCCAGGTGGCCGAGTGCTCAGCCCAGAGCCCCAGACGCTCCACACACTCTGCCTCTGAGGTCACTGCGTTAACTCTTCTGACACAAACACACAGCCACAGGCCACAGCCTACAATTACTCCAAGGATGCCTTGTTTCCTGCATTCTGCCATCCCATGGCACCTCCTGAAGCATGCAGTGGGAGGCCGCGGGCCACAATGAGCAGAGCCTGGTTTTGAGGAGACAGGGCCAGGCTTGACAGGCAGCCCCCACAGGCCTCATGCAGTTTTCAGGCTTCTCATTTTATGGGGTCCTCCCAGCTTTGAGTGACAAAGGCAGAGAAAGCATTACTCCAGGGTCACACGGAGGCTGGGAACTTGACCCACAGGCACCCAGCAGATGGAACACAGGGCTACCACTTGGGACAAGGCAGCTTTCCAGAAGTGCTCTTTAAAATGTGTCTTATGTCTTCCTGGTTACTAACATTAAACACACACATGGTTGTTTTTTAGGCCAGTTGACACCACCTGATCTGATGGAACAGCTCCCCCCACCCCTCCCTCCAAAAACACCCTTAACTACCCTCTGGGGATGGCTCTAGGCCCCCCGGCCGATGCCATTGCCCACCACCATCCCCACCCCACACCAATCACACCCCCAGCCGCTTGCTGCCTACCCTCTGGGGATGGCTCCAGGCTCTCCCACCAGCCCTGATGCCCCTGCCTTCCCACTCCCACCAATCACAACCCCAGCCTCTGCCTGCACTCTGGGGTGGCTCCAGCACTGCCCCACACCCCATAGTCCTGCCCACGTGCCCCCGACACCAATCAAACCCCTAGCCGCTGCCTACCTTGCCCTGCAGCTGCTGTACCTCCTTCACATGCTCCCGGTAGCTGGCCTGCATGCGAGCCTGCACAGCTGTGATCTCCTGCTCCCGGGCCATGAGCTGCTTTTTCACCTTGGCCTCCCCAGCTGCAGCCTTGGCCTTTTCTGATGCCAGCTCCTGGGATAAGCAGTGGGCAGAAGGAACGGAGCTTATCATATGGGACCAAAACAATCACAATGCAGCACATCACCTGGGGCTGTGAAGAGCCTGAGAACAGAGCTTGGAGACCCTTCCTCCAAGGTTCTCAGACAGGCCCACGCCAGGCAGCACAGAGAACAAGCAGGAGACAATGAGGGATCCCTGGAAAACCCTGCCAGCCTGACCAGTGGAGGGGTCAGTGTCAGGCCTTGTCCACCATGGAGGCAGTGGGTACCAACAGGAGCTGCATAAAACACAGTCTCTGGGCTCTCCAGGAACACAGGCATGATCCCTGGTGTCTGGGCCCCAGGCATGCCCACCTCTACATGAGTGCCTTTGCCAGGATCAAAAGGCAACCAGCCTTGATAGTGGATGGGTCAGCCCCACTCCTAGAGGGCCTGTGTCTCTAGGCAGATGCTAGGTCCTCCACCCCAGCCCAGTGAACATCTGCTCTTGTCAGTGTCAGATGCCCATGATGAACATGGGATGCTGAGCCTGGGGACCCAGAGCCTCAGGCAGGGGGCAGAGCGTAGGTGGCGAAGGGGTGGTCAAGGGAGAGGGACTGGCTGGGGTCTGTGTCATTCCTGAAAGAATGGCAATGGGCAGAAGCCACAGGGAAGCAGGCGGTGACAATTCAAGGAAGGGTTGATGCAACAGGCTCTTGGGTGGGAATACTGCTCCCTATCCTGTCGGCCTCCAGCCAGACTGGCAACTACATGGTATGGGCCCAGATGGCCTGGGTGACCAATGTCCCATAAGAATCAAGGTCCTGTCCCTTCCCTGTCCTGAGCAGCAGACCAGAGAAGGGGAAATGGAAATCCCCCTATTCCCTTGGCTGGGAGGTCCATCCCAAAGGACCAGAGTCCCCTCCTACCTGAGATGGCACCATACTGAGGCCAGGGAGGGGCTGGGCTAAGGGGGTGGCCACTGGGTGCCAGAGCTGCTCTGGTGTTCCCTGCAACCACCTGGGACCCATTGGGCCCACTTCTTAAAGGCAGTCATCTTCCTGGCTCCACCCAGGCAGCGAGCCCACAGGAGCACAAGATCTATGCTAAACGCATTATTGATTATCTGCAGAAATGGGAGGGTGGCTACCACTGCATGCCGGCTTGGGGACAAGCACAAGTCTCATTCCCCATTTTAAAGCTGAGCTCACTGAGCCATGGAAGGACATGACATCCAAGGCTGCAGAGCAGCTCTAAGTCGCAGGAGTGGGCTGGAACCTGGGACCGTGAGAGCTCACAAAGATTCTAGCAAGGGGGAGCAATGGTGAGGTGCTTGGGCACCTCTAGGAAGCAGGAGAGGGCAACTTCATGGGGATTCGGGTCCACCCGCTTCCTCTGACACATTCCCCACCTGCAGAACTGCCGTGGCAGGGATGACCTGCAGGCATCCCCACACCAGCAATGTGGGAAGCCCATCTCCACTGGGTCTCCCAGATGAGAGCCCCCTGAAGTACATGGGCTCGTCTCTGAAGAAGAAAGCAAAATTCAGAAAGGCCCAACTGCGCCCCTGGCCACAGTGGCAGCCAGCAGTGCAGCCACACGTGAACTGTCCTCTGCCGCCTCTGCTCACCACACAGACACTCAGAGGCTGGCACTGAGCATCTCTCTGGGGACAGCCTTCCCCACCTGGGCAGGCCTCCGGTACTTCTGAGCCTCTACCAGGCTCAGGATATAAAGGTCTCAATTTCCTGGGGACACATGGTCCCAAAGCCACCAGAATTCAATGGGATTTCCCTTTCTCTCGCTGCTGGGCTTTTTTTAAAGAGCAGAGAAAAGCCAGCTTCTCCTCAGGGCATTTGTTTGGTTCTGGCTTCTTTTTCTCACAAGACCACAGAATCCCAGGATTCTTCCTGCCTGTCAAATTCTTAATTCAGTTGCAAGGGTCAGATTTATTTTCTTGAAAGGCATGCCTGGTGGTGGGGGAGTGGCTCCAACTGGAGCCCAGTTTTCTTTGACTGTGCTGGGCAAGGAGCCAGCACTACCAGCTCAGAACTGGTGCTCTGCTCCCTAGGTGGCATGGGCCCTGTGCTGTGTGAGCTCCTGAGGCAGCTGCAGCAGGGACAGGAGGTGGCTCCCACCAAAGAGGCCTGCCAACAGAACACCTCCCAACCACCTCTGCAACCGTGCTTACCCTGAGGGTCTCCTTGACGGCTTCAAGCCCCATCTCCCAGGCCTGAGTGAACTACAGGATGGGGACTAGTCCAAGGTGCCACCTCAGGCCCCAGGCACAAGGCCCCTGGTGCATGAGAAGATGACAGCTGGAAAGACGGTTTTCCAGAAGAGCTGTACCAGAGCCATGTGTGGTTCCTCACCCCCACACACAAGGCCCTGAAGACATGCACAAGCCAGAACAGGGGTGTCAGGGGCCCAAGGATGTTCCTCCTGCAGCTGGTGCCTGACACAGTCCTTAAACCCAGCTCTGCTGGGACTTTGCTCATTTGGGAGACATGGATCGATAGACAACCCCCATGTTTTCTCTGCATCCAGATCAGTCACAGCCCACAAGAAAAATCATTCACCAAAACCCTCTTCTCCAACTACAAAAACTTCTCTACAAGGACAAAGAAAGCAATGTGGAAGGAACTAGAACATGAACGCGGATCCTATCTCTCTCTCTCTTGCAGGAGGTTAAGATAAAAGAACTTCCACATTCTGAGTAATCTAGTTTCTCATATAGCTTTCCTCAATAGTGCTGGGCTAAACGTGACACAAGAATGCAGTAACATGCTAGCTATGCCCAGAAATCTCAACAGAGAAATGCAGGGACCCAGTGTCCATGGACTCCAGGGTACAGGAAGGAAAAGTGGCCATGCACAAACCATCAGAGGCCTCCTCTTCGCTGTGTGCTGGCCTCAGTGTTCACTTGCCAACAGGTGGCCTGCTAGGCTGAGCCAAGTAAGGCGACCAGAGTCACAGGGGACAGATATGATGACACATAACTGTAGTGATGACCTCTGTTCTGGGACAGGAAAATGGCAGCTACAAAAGGGTCCTTGAGGGAGGGAAATCAAACTGAGTCTTTAAGGATAAGGAGCGAATTTCCAGCCAGCCAAGCAGTGAAGGGCAGTTGAGGCTAATGGAAGGGCAGGCAGAGAGGCCCAGAGGATGCAATGAAGGATGAGGCATGTGGGGAGTAGACTTGAGTATAGGAGCTGGTGGCAGGGCCTAAAGAGGCCCTGACAGGACCAGGCCGACACTTAGAGCCCAGGGGGATGCAGTCGGGCGTGGGGAAGGCCCTGGCCGAATGCCCAGTCAGACTTCCCACAGGGTGTGGGATTATTCCCAAGCCTGGGCCATCTCCCTGCACCCATGCCCGGATGCAGGAGGCGGGTGAACAGGGAGAGGGCCGGAGCGGCCTGCAGCATTCTGCTGGGAAAAGACAGCTTCTAAACTGGGTGTGACCTGCCCGGGGGCTGGGACAACCAAGACTTACTCCTCAGGAGGTAAGGGAGAAACCCAGTGAGTTCTGGCTGTGGTGCCACATGTCCTGACTCCCCCTGAGGGACATCCCGCCCCTCATGGCAGCATTGACGCATCACTGACTGCTCCTAACTGACACAAACGCTCCATGCCAGTCATCAGCCGGTAGTAAGGAGCCAGGCGTTCCCTGCAGAGTTGCACCACAGATGCAGAAAAGGGAGAAAAGCAGCCCCTTCATGCCCTCCCCGCCAGTTTTTGCTACAATTATCAAGAAAACAACCTTGGACAGTTGTGTCTGGTCTCCTTCCAGGGTGGATAAAAGGTGGCCCTCACTGTGGGGTTGCCAGTGACATTCTGTACAGCCCCACTGCAGATGGAGGGCCCTAACTCCCTCATAACATCCCCACTCTCTACAGTCCCCTGAGGGGTCCTTGTGGGATGCTAACGGCCAGCAGGCTCCCGCACTCCTGCAGTCTTGGAGTGCCTCAGGCTGAGGAGCCGAACCCAGGACCCCACAGCCTGGGGGCAGCACAGGCTGTGCCTGTACCTTGTTGAGCTCCCTCAGTTTGCTCTTGGCAGCGACCGCATCCTCCTGCTCTGTGGCCAGCAGCTTTTCCTTCTCTTCCAGCTGGCGTTTCAGAACTGCCACAGGGTCGCCCTTCTGAGTGGCCTAGAAATGCCCACAGAGCTGCGTTAACAAAGGGGACGGAGAGACAATTTGTTTGTGCCCCACCCCCAACAGTGAGACCCTGACCCACAACCAGAGCAGCAGCCTGCTAAAGAGGGAGCAGGGCTGCAAGATGAGTGGGCTTCATTCCAACTCCAGACACCTCTGAGGGAAAGGTGCCCCGCCTCAGCCACCCAATCCACCCGGCATGTGTAGGAGCTGCCTGGGCCAAAAGCTTTGGATCAGCAGGGTAGGTTTTAGGAGCACAGTGTTTTCCACTAACTAGGGTGGATGGTACCCAGGGTGTCTGCCTGCCCCACTGAGGGGTACCTCTCATGGCCACTGCTTCATGCTTGACACCCACCTCTCAGAAACCATGTGCAGAATGCAGGCTACTGGCTGACGTGTGGAGGCTGTGGGGACAGTGACCTGATCTGCACTCCAGCTTCCTCCTTGGAGGAGGAGTGGTCATCCACCAGACCTCCTGTAACATAGAGCTCTGTCCTGGCTCTTAACAGCCTTCCAGTTTTGGGTGTGGGGCTCTGGCAGGGCTGTGGCAGAAGCCAAGGCACTTGCAGGGTGATTTGTGCAGCCTGCATATGGGAAGGGGCTGCAGAGTTTTCCCCAGAGAGGTAAGAAAGGCTGTTTCATGAACACTGCAGCATAGCAAGCCAGGTGTGACCAGCCTTCATAGGCATCACTCAGGGGAGGCTGGGGCCCCAAGACCAGGTACCCCTGCAACCCGCTGGCCTCTGAGAGGGAGAGGGAGGAGGGTGGGCCCACCTTATGCCAGGTGTCCTGAATGATGCCAGCTTTCTCCGATAGGATCTCAATGAGGCGCTGGGCCTCACCATCATTGAACACCATGCTTCCAACAGTGGAGACCAGGGTCTTGTAGGGAAGGCAGAGAGGGCTGTCGGAGTCCAGGGGCCCTGTGCAGGAAGAGGGAAGGGGACTTACAGACACCAGCAAGTAAACTCATCACAGCCTGAAGCAGCAGGGCCATCAGAGCCAAGGGCTCTGCCCAGCTGCCCAGGCTCTGCAGGCTGCATGGTGAGCCTGCCCTGGGTATCTGGACTCTCTCAGAGCACTGAGAAACAGATGGAACTGCAGGGCTGTACAAGCCTCCCAAGTCACAGTGCCCAAGACACCAGAAGAGAAGGTCTTCAAGTAAAGGCTGAGTTTTCCTGGCTTGGAAATCCCCACTATTTATCATCAAAATGAGCAGAATTAAGCAAAGCATACTGTTCCCAAAGATACTTTTCCTTCCTTCTTTTTCCAGCGGACCATGTGGTCCACCTCTCACCCTGCAGGGCCCAACAAGGTTCACCTCCTGCCATGACCAAGCCCTGTGGCATCTGACTGACCAATGAGCCCATCATTCCCCATAAACACAGAATGCCCCCCCTGCATCCCCACAGTCATGAGAGAGGGACGGAAGCAAAAGGCCCGTGGCTCCAAGGCTGCTTCTCTGTGGTCCCAGGGGAAAGGAGGCTGCTTCCTATACTCAGGCTCAGACCCTACTTCCACCTCTCCCTGGATGAGTGTGCAGCAGGTTTTGGAAGAGGAAGGTGAGGCTGGGTTCTTCCAGAACTGTCCATTTGTCAGTCCATCACACTTCCTGGAGGTCAGTGTTCCAAAGCACTACTGATGCACCCTCCACATATACATTGCCCTCTCATCACTGGCCCTCAGGTGGCCTTGAAGGCAAGAAAAGGAGAACTGAGATGCCCCACCTTAAATGCCTGCACAGTTCCTCATGTTGAGGCCCCAGTCTGCCCAACAGCTGGACGACAGGCCAAATGAGTTGGACAAAGAGAGAAGGCTGTTCTACAGCAGCACCTTCAGTTAAGCCCACCCCACTGAAGATGACAACTGGGGAAGGTTTCCATAGCAACCCTAAATTCTCTGGCTTGTCACAGTATTTTCACTTCTAGTCACAATATTTTCATCACAAGTCAAAGCATTTAGCACGATACCTTAATAAAGGGAATGTGGTGTGTGGGTGAGCTGGTTGCTATGAGCTCCTTCATTTTAGAACATCTCACCTTGGTGAAGCTCAGGAGATTAAAAATAACCATGTTGACATTAAGGCCTAAGAGCTCAAGGGTGAAACAAAAATTGGGGGGGACCTTCAACCTTCTTTGTTGACACTGAAATACATACATAATTTTAATGGTAAATTTATATACACTTAAAATCCTGAATACAGCGAAGCCAAGCTCTCAAGTTCACTATTGGAAGAAAACCCCAGTGTTAGCATGTTGGCTTATGGGCTTCCTGCTTTCCCCCTCAGCCTATAGACAGATGTTTACTGTCAGTGTCTCCCAGAAGAGGGAGGCCCACTCACTTCAGAGACTCTGCTGGAGTGTGACAAGACAGGATGGCCTCTCTGAAGCTGATCACTGCGATGCTTTCCCTTCCTGACCCAGTCTGCTCCTGTGTTGGCCACCAGCCACGTGCGACCACTGGGTGCGAGAAATGTGGCTAGTGTGAATGGAGGTGCACTACACGTGGAAGCACACACCACGATGAAGACTTGATATGAAATGAAAAATAAAATACCTGTAATAATTTAATTGATTGCATGTTGAAATGCTAATTTGGGTAAGCTGTGTTAAATAAAATATATCATTAAAATTAATTCTATTTGTTTACTGTTTGCCTTTTTTAATGGGGCTACTAGGAAAGTTTAAATTACACACGTGGCTCATATGTGTGGCTCATGCTGTATTTCTACTAGACAGGTTGGTCCCTTCTTTCCAGCCATGGAGACCCCCAAAGTTCCCTGCTCAAGTCCTGGCAGCCCCTGTCCCGCAGGGGTCCAAGAGTGATGGGGGCTCAGCCCTCCCTTGAATGCTCTCCCTGAAGACCACCCTACAGGGCCCCCAGGGCCACCACTGCACCACACCTGGATAACACAGCCACACCTCACTATGCGATGTTTCCTTCACAGGCATCATCCTGGCATTCTGGGCAATTATGTGTCCCCTCCTAGAGGGCTGGAGAACAGACCCCAGAGGCTCTGTCCTCAAAACTTCCCAGTACCACTCTGTGAGAGTGTCATTCTAATATACCCTTATTAAAACTTTCTAATGTAATTATATGAAATTTTATTAGACATTTTAGTGAACAAAGTAATGAACACTAAATGAAACAATCTAATGCTATGTTGAGCAAAACTTAACTCTACGCTGCCCACCTCCTACACTCCCCACAGAAACTGCCACGGCCTTCTCCATGCTCAAACACTATCTTTTCAATTATTTTTAGAGAGCCATAACTATATTTTTTCACTAAGTCTTCCAGGTTAGAATGGTGCTGTTTCTATTCTCCCCACGTCTGGGCAGGTAAAACTCAACAATAAAAAGAAAAGCGCTTGAAGTAGTAACTAAGTTCTGGACCTCTGCATGAGTCAGGCTCAGAGCAGTGGCAGCTTACCTCTGACGAGGCACCCGTTCCTGGGAGGAGGACACACCGACTCCATCAACAAATACTGCACTGGTAAGGGCTAACACGTGCCAGAACACCATGTGGGTCTCCAGCAAATACTCACAGACTAGAAGTAATCCTTGGTATTACAAAATCTTAAGGCACTGAAATAAAGTTGTCAAAGACTCAACATCTAATCTGTTAAACAACAGATCTTACCAAGACCACGTGGCAGTGAAGTGCAGTGAAATCAGCTCCTGCAGCCAGCATTTGGCCCACCCTGGGGAGCCTGAGACCAGGAACAGTCGGCAGGGAGCCCTGGGGAAGGTAGGGGGCAGCAGGACAGGGATAGGTGGCAAGGCAGGGCCAGTATCCTACGGCTGGCAGTGATCCTGACCCTTCTGGCAAGGGCCTGGCCCTAAAGAAACTGGAGAGGCCTGGGCTCACAGCACAGCTTCTCCTGAGCAGGGCAGCCTTGGACATGTCTTTCACCTCCAGGTGACAGCTCTGCTGTGGTCTAGGCCAGAACCTACAGAACAGCAGGCTTGCTGAGGAGAGCTGGAAATGAGATTTTTATGTGCCATCTCCTAACCTTTAGCGCTGCCAGCTAACTCAGTGAAAAATAAATAAAACCACTGTAGGGCTGAACAAATACATCTGTGGGGCAGGTCCAGTCTGCAGGTCACCTCTGCCCTTGGATTCAGCTCAGCTCCTTCCCGCCTGTGCGTCCCAGGGCAAGTAGCTTTGCCGCCTTCACCTCATTCTCTCATCTGTGAAATGGGGGTAACAACTGGTCCTCTCTCCCAGCCGTGCCACAAAGACTAAGTTGCAGTGTCTTGGAGCAATGCCTGGCATAGGGTGAAGCACGCACAATCAATCAACAGGGCCACCATTGAGCCCCAGTCACAGGAGAATCCCAGGCCCTGACACCTCTCTGAACAGACCTAGGGAGGAGCTCTGAGTGGGTGAAGCAACTCCGGCCTTTCTCCTACTCCCAGCGTAATGGTGCCAATGCAGAGGTGGTGCCCAGGAGCCAGCCCTCTGAGGAGAGAGCACCATGGCCCAGGCCCTCTGGCTCCTGCCTCGCACTACTGTCCTCCCTCACCAAGGCTAAGGGACAGCATGCTTAGGCAGGCAAGAGGCCCTCTGCCTCCCTGGGCTCTCAGTCATGAGGTATGCAGGGCTCGGAGCATTAACACTTCAAATTCCAACACTACACTCCCTTTTGTGACTGTGCTGGGAGGCTTAATCACCTAAAATTAAACTTGTCTTACAAAAAGGCACTTAGGAGTCTCTTTCTCTTTGTCAACTGTGAGGTCCTTTGAGGAGAATCTTCTCTCTGCCCACATAATTACCAGGATCTCCAATGGGACTCTGCAGCCCAGTGCTGTTTCAGCAGCAGCACCCCCAGTGTCCCACTACTGGAATGCTCCTGTACTGCTCCTGCCCAGTTTACTCAACCAACAGCAAAGGTGGTGGTACTGCTCCCATGTGCTCCACCAGCTATGCAATGAGAGGCGGAGGGGTGGGGAGAGGGACTGTCACCATGGCCCTGGGACATCAAATAGCTCCACCTCAACTTCAACTGTTGCTGCAGATACCTGGGAACCCTGCCCAGAGCCAACAGGTCCAGGGGGTCTTCAGACAAAAAGTGTGCACCTACTGTGTAGCTGGCAGTCTGCAAAATGCTTGGCTCAGAAAGGTAAGTTAGAGGTGAAACTGCCAGCTAAGAGGGAGAGGAGACAGGCCACATGGCGACCACAGAGCACAGCCACACATGGGGAACCTGTGTACCGCCAAGGGAGCAACCCTGGCAGCAAGGTCAGGAAAGGCTTTCAGAACAGGGGATGCCTGAGCCACTGGGAAGAGAGGCCAAAGGCTCAGGGAAGGAAAGGTATTTAAGGAACGGGAGCAGCAAGGACAGGCACTAAGGCTCACAGGGACCTTGGTAGAGTACAGGAAAGCGAGACCAGAGGAGGTTCAAGTCTTCACAGATCCCAGAGATCCAGATTTTATCCTGTAGGCAAGGAGCAATGCCTAGAAAGGAGCAAGATGTGCATCTGGGAAAAGTTATTTCAAAACACGCATGGGGACAAGGCTGGAGTTAGATCAGGGAAGATCCAGGGCCAAGGGCAGTCAAAAAGCTAAGTTGAGGGACAGCGATCCAGATGTCAACCCAGGGACTGACAGCAGAGCCTGCCATGGGGGCTGGGGGAGAACTCCAATGGCAGAGACACTCTCTGGGAATGTCTTTCCTCAGGGAATGGCCAGACCAGTTCCCAGGCCTCTGCCTTAAACACAGACACAGGCTGCATGGCTGCTGCCTCTGGACCCTGTGCAGGTGCCACAACAGTGCAGCCAGACCCCAACCTTAGGGAACCTTTCAGGCCCTGACATCCCCAATCACCTGAGCCAAACTCAGCTTGAAGGCCCCTCCACACCTCCATGAAGCCAGGGCCACACAAGCAATCACCAGATTTAGAGTGGAAGGCAAGCCCCC